AGACACTCAGACTTAGTTGCTAAATGGATTTGCATCATTTCCAAATGGATAAAAACTTGTGGACACATTTTTAAGCCTTGCACAAGTCTTAGCTAGAATATAGAAATAGCTGTCTAGTATTGAAATTGTATTACCTTAAAAAACTTGGTTGTCTTCTTTTTAAACTGTAAAGATCCGGGAAATGATACACAAAGAGTCCAAGATCCTAGCGCGGACCTATCAAAGGCTCACAAGTGCTTGCTGTTGTAGTATAAGCTGACTTTCTCATAGTCGTGTAACTGCATCCCGAGGTACCTGTCCTCTGGCTCAGGTGTGCATGGGTGTCCTTACCTTAAATGAAGACAAGGCTGTGGGGACTGACAGATTCACTGCCACCTGCATGGTTGGTTGGTAAGAGTCTTTAAACCCCAAGTGGACAGCTGTGGTCCCTGTGGGCTGTAGCCTTTTAATATTGAGCCGTTATTTTTCTCAGCATTTATTGGAGGGACTTTTAATGCAGTGGTGTGGTGTAGTGTGTGTGTGTGTGTGTGTGTGTGTGTGTGTGTGTGTGTGTGTTTGCAGGATGAATTAAACATCTCTTCACCCTCCACCTTTGGCAGGCATCCCAGTTGCACAGTCCCCCCTCCCCTTTGAGAGTTCCGTTGTCTGCCGATAGCCTATAGGTGTTTCCCGCAGTGAAGACTATATGACTATTTTGCACTGGATTTTAACCAGGGGGATCATGGTAATTTGCAAAGCAGCTCTTAGAGCTTGGCAAATCAGCTTTTTTCATTTCCTTAAAGGAAGACGGAAACATTTTGTTCTATTCTTGCCTGAGTTTTCCTTTGCTGTGTTTTGCTGGATTATGTGAGAGATATTAATGTTTGCACTGACTGAAATTAACTGCTATCTGCAAGACAATGAAAGGAGTATCCGCTGTGAATATCCGCTGTTTATTATAACCACAGTCAAGCCCGCTTAATATAAATACTTTTATTGTTTGGCATCAAAACTCAGCCAAAGCATGATGAATGGGATTTGGTTACCTTTTTCTTTTTCTTCTCTTTTCTTTTCTTTTCTTTTTTTTTTTTTTTTGAGACAGGGTCTAGCTGTGTAGCTCAGGTTGACCTTGAATACATTATATAGCCTAGGCTGGCCTCGTACTTGTGGCGATCTTCCTGCCTCAGCCTCCCAAGTGCTGGGATTACAGGCATGTGCCACCCCGCCTGGCTGGTTAACATTTTCTACCCTGGCCTTTTTGTTTTGACAGATTTGAAACCTACACACATTGTTTTCTCCTCCTTGGCTTTGGGCTTTAATGGGACAAGAGATGAAATGGGAGTATTGTCCTTCCTCATTGTCCCAGTTACTAGTTCTGTGTAAAAAATTACCCCAAAGCTAAATTGCTTCAAGCAGCACTTTTATTTTGCCCTGGACTTGTGGGGCAGGAATTTGGAGAATTTTAGGTGAGGGCTGAGCTGGGAGGTCCTTGCGTGGGGATTCTGGTGCAGTTGCTGTCGGGGGTCTGCTGGGGCTGTGGTTGTCTGAGGCTTGGTCGTCATCCGGAGGGCCGCTCACATGCCTGCCAGTGGATGGTGGCCCTTAGGTGGGTGCTCAGCTGGCATTGAGCACCTACAAGTGACCTGTGTGGCATGTGGTCTCAGATCATCAGACTTCCGCGTGATGTGTGCTTCCCCCAGAGAGGGCCCCAAAATGACCACGTGGAAGCTTCGCAGCCTTTTCTGACGGATCCTTGGAACTTGTAAAGCAAAACTTCAGTCATATTCTATTGGTCCAAACGCAAGACTACCCAAACTCCAACTCCTCCTGATAGGAGCGGTCCCAAAAAGTTCTGGGCCATGTTTGAAAACTGTCATGTCTGAAAACTACCGTAGTCATGGAAACGGCGTAGAGACAGTGACTTATCCTGAGTGCTGAGGACACAGGTTTTCTTCCTTCCAGCCTTCCTTTCCTGGGCAGATTTCATCAGCAGCCCTGTTTCACAGAGTCCGCTTAAGTGCTTTAATGGTTAACCAGCCAGCAAAACAAGAACTTTGGTTAGTTAGCACATTAAGTGACCTGGGCTAAGCCAGTCGCAAGAGAGCAAACGGGAGTCGTTTTTATCAATGCTGTGGATCTTGCATTGGGAATTCTTCGCTCTTCTGCTATTTCTTTAAAATTTTGTCTGGGGAAAAAATTATGCAAAGGCTCCACTGCCCACCACTTCAGTACAGTATTTGGGCAGACCTCTGGTAAGCTGGCAGGGACGGTGCTAAAGCTCCTTGGACAGCGCTGGACGCGCTGCTTTCATCCTTCACACCGGTTTGCTGGGTCTCCTCAGGAGAACTACAATCCTGGTGCTTGCTAGAAACTGGATCTGCTCCTCCAGTTGGAACTAGTTAAAGAAATGCACACTGTGAAGTCAGAAAAGCACGGGAAAACTATTTTTTGGAGCTGACAGAAACAACTCATCAGCGTGTGATAGTAAAAGGCGTAGGCTCCAATTTCTCAGGAGAGATAGGTTTCAATTCTCCCTCTGTCTCTGAAGGAGTTGTACAGCCTCAGTAGGGTGGTAGTGGTTTGTTTCTCGTTTTTCTAAGCTTTTCTGGATTTTAATTTCCTTCTAAGATGCAAAAGGCAGTGCCTATCGGGATCTTGACAAAGCTGTTAAAGATTAAATAAGGCAGTGTTTGTAGAATACCTGTCATGGTGCTGGCATGTAATTTTCAACCATTGTTGGTCCTTGCTTTCCCACCCTTTGCTATTTATTGGCTAATGATACCTACATAAAATAACTACTTATGTCCTAAGTGGTTTATATAGTTGATCTTACTCTTTCTCCTAACAACTCTTGAAGAGAGATTGATGGGAAACAGAGGTACTGAGAGCTTAAATCAGTTCTGCCATGTCCTGTAGCCAGTGGAGGAAAGAAAGGTCTTCAATCCAGGAATCTGGAACTGGAGCCCATGCACTTTTAATAATGTGTGTGTGTGTGTGTGTCCACGCATCTGTGTGTCCACACGTGTGCAAGTGCGGGGGCACGGAGGAGGCATATTCTGAGATTGGCGAGATGAAAGAGCACTGATGCGAGATTTAGGGGACCAAGCTTTCCATCTGTCCTGACACTCATCAGGAAAACAGCCTTGGAAGAGGGACCTTTATGCCTGTGATACTAGTTACCTCATCTGTGAAATGGGAGCGTTGGAGCTACATTGTGGGCGGGGTCTTTTCCAGTGCTGATCTTCTGTAGCTGTGGGATTTAGATTTTCATCCAACCACCTGTTGAATATATTATGAAGCCCCTTCAGTCTTGACCCTCTGGGAAATGCAAAAGCTTTGTGGTCGGTCTCTTCTACCATAGCCTTAAGCTTTTATTTTTGTTGAAATAATATTTGCAAGTATTTTTTTTCTGTCTTTTTGAGACAGGGTCTCATTATGTAGTTTAGGCTGGCCTTAAACTCACTTTGTAGCCCAGGCTGGTCTCGAACTCAGAGCGATCCTCCTGCTTCAGCCTCCCAAGTGCTGGGATTACAGGCATGTGCCACCACACCTGGCTGCAAGTAATTTTGTAAAAGCCCTGGTGAAGTTATAATGAGAGATGAAAATCCTGTTCCTCACTCCTTGCCACCCCCAGTTCTTCTCAAGAAGCAACTGTTTCTGACCTTTTTAGCTACCCTTCCAGTCATGTATGTAAAGTTACAGCAGTGGACTTTGGCCCTTTTGCACTCTGATGCCCATTTTTCTTTGCCATTCCAGCTGGCCATGGTTTGGTGGGAGAGCATCCAAAGGCAGCGGAAGTGACGCAGCCCACTTGCCTGGGCTGCTCGGGGGTGGATGCCTGCCTCTTAGGGAGGCTGCCCCAGGTGATCCGCAGAGCTTTCCAAGCTGGGGCCTGAACTCGGCATGTTGCCCTGACTCTAAAACTTGTGCTAATTATAAAGTGGACTTTGGATTTCGCAACAGCTTGGCTGGTGGTTGAAATGTGCACATCAGTTGTATAATCCATCTGAAATCTAGTGGCTGTGAGTTTTAGGGGAGATAAAAGTGAGTCTTAAATTAGAAGAAATACGTTAATCCTCTCGGCGTAAATGTGGAAATGGCTCACTTGTGGTTGCAGGTACAGCCGTGGCCACAGCAATGCTTCTTCCTCTCGCTCAGCTCACTTTAAGTACGTGTGTGGCCACGGCCGAAGAAGCATTGGGTTCTGTCAAGCCTGCTAGCTGTGCGTGTGCTCACGTGTGTGCACATGGTGGTTGTGTATCTCAGGTTTCTCCTCTGGTTCTTACTGGAACGACCTCTGTGCTGGGGGGGGCGGTCACAAAGGCTGGGGGTTTCCTGCTTTGTGTGTGGTGCTTTGGACCTTGAGCTAGTCAAACATTGTTTTGTAAGTGATTCATTCTGGTGGCTTGTACCTTTGTAACAGCAACAAAAAGATGAACTGAAAGTGAGTCTTTTTCACATTAACAGACAGTCTACAAAGTAACTGGGCCCATACTATTTTTTAAAATAGAGAGCCAGGCGTGGTGGCTCACACCTGTAAGCAGGAAATTGCTGCAAATTCGAGGTCAGCCTGGGCTACGTGGCGAATTCAAAGCCAGCCCGAACTATACAGCAAGACCCTGTCTCAAAAAAAGAAAAGTAAGTATAGGGGCCATGAAAGAGAAGGACGGAAGACTTGCATCAGGTGTAAGGATGTTAAGGAGATAGGACAGCTAAAGCAGTGTGCAAATCCTGGATTGAATCGTGCACCAGGAATTTTTTTTCCCCTTTACTATAAAAGATGTTAGTGGGATAATTGATGCAATTTAGCCATAGTCATGAATCACATTAATGGCATTGTATCAATGTTAATTTCCTGATCCTAACCATTGTATTTTTATGTTAAGAGGATGACCTCATCTTTAGAAAATACGCACCACAGTATTCAAGGTAAAGGGGCTTCGCGTCTTTATTTTACCTTCAGTTTTTTCCAAGCCTGAAATTATTTTAAAGTGAAGAAGTTAAAAAAAGTCTTCTTCCCTTTCCCAGACCCACCGTCTCTCATAACAGCCTCCAAACAACAGTGCCCTCTTTGCCTGAGAAATCTCGACATCAACCAGAGATTCCAAGGCCATTTGGAGCTGGGTGCTCGCCTCTGTGTTTGGAAACAGTCTTTGGTCCAGTCAGAATTCTGCACCAGAGCCCTTTTTCATGAGAGACAAGCAAGTCTTCTGAGGACTGAAGAGGTTTCAAAACCCTTGTTACCTCAGAGGAGTAAAACTTGCAGGAAGTTTCGTTCTTTCCTCTTGTGAGTTCAGAAGCAGGACAGGCAGTGTAATGTTATGGCGAAGGTTCAGATTAGGAACATGTTCTGGCTTTATCTCCAAAGCTGTCTAGAGGCCTGAGGCCTGCCTGGAGTCTGGACTGGGCAATGTTCACACTAGGTTTATATGCTCTGTAAGTCACTTGGCCATCGCTGGAGCAGAGTACTCCACGCCCACAGCTTGGAGGAGAGGCTTTATCTGGCTCACATTTCCAGTAGGTGCAGTCCATGCGTGGTTGACCGGCTCCAAGGCAGAAACAGTGTGGTGAAAGTGTATAGCAGAGGACAGACGCTCACCCCATGGCAGCCAGGAAGCTGAGAGAGAAGGGAGGATCCGGAGACCTGAATACTTTTTCTGTGGCCTGTATGTCCATCAGCAGATGAACAGATAAAGGAAATGTATTTATGCACAGCAGGCTTCTACTCTGCCATAAATACTAAGCTTGAGTTATTTGCGGAAAAATGGATGCACCTTGAGATCATAATGTTAAGTAAGTTAGACACGCAAGCTTAGATACATGGTTTCTCTTATGTAGAAACCCAAAATATAAAGAGCAAAATAAAAGATAGATATAATAAGCCACGTGTGGTGGTGCACGCGTGTAATCCCAGCTCTCAGGAGGCTGAGGCAGGAGGATCATTGCAAGTTTGAGACCAGCCCGGGCTACAAAGTGAGCTCAGGGCCAGCCTGAACTGCGTAGTGAGTCTCAAAAAAAGACAAAAAAAAAAAGATAGATATGATAATAGGAAGTAGGGGGGATCCAGAGATAGAGGAGAAGGGAAGGAGCTGAAAAAAATTAAGATGTGTTATGTATATATACCAGCTCTCCCTTAGGAATGTAATCATTGTGCAGGGCAAGCATGAGCTAATAAAAACTGAAAAATGTGCTTTATGAAAAAATGCACACCTTTCCAGGTCACATGTCCCCGTGACCCTCCCCTTCCTAGCGCAAGACTTTTGAGGAACATTTTATATCTAATCCATAACAGTTACCCCTGTACTTTATCCCACAACTCACTCAAATGGCTTAAATAAAAGGGAGTATTATCCGAAAGGTCGTAAGGGTCATCTGTGGACCAGAGGAGGGACATGTTCCTGCTTTTATGCGTGGGAGCCCACACCTCCCGGTTGGACCCCACCATCTCTTTGACAGCTGTTGGCACAGCACGTTCATTAATGGCGCCCTCCTTACTCTCAGAAGTGTCGTTTGATGAATAGATTAGCCGACCATGTTATTGTACAGTCACAACCAGGAACCTGGATGATCTCCCACCGTCCCTCCTCTTCTACCTTCTAAATTTTTTGCTACATTTGCTTTGTTCTCTCTCTGTTTCTCTCTCCCTCCTCTGGCGTCCTGTGTTCTGACCCCCAAGAAAGAAGCTCATATCAGAAACATGGCGTCAGGGATCCCCTCAGGCATGGGGCCGTCTCCACAGAAGGAGCTAGTGGGTTTGGCGGACCTTCCAATGGCCCTCTGCTACTGGTCAGGACCGGAGGTGGGGAAAGTAGTGAGTCAGAACGGACGGGGATTAGGCCACTGGGTTTCCAACAGTGGTACTGTTTCCCCCATCTTGAAGATCTGCTGTTTTCTTCTTCATGCCTTCTTTCCCATTTGCATTGGTGACTTTGGGCCTGATTTAATCAGCTTCTCGCAGTAGGATGATCCCTGCTGGGGTGGACTAGGGCCTGCACAGTGATCGGGAATGTTGGGGCCCTGACAGGTCTCCCTCCTTGCTCTTCCCTCTATCTGCTGCTTGCTGGTTCCCGCACACTTGGGCCTCAGCTCCTCCTGCTTTACCCTAGTGTGGTCTTTGAGTCTCCGCCTCTGCTCCCTTGTGGGAGCTGGGACTGAGAGAAGAAAACATGGCAGGCAGGAAGGCCTGAGGAGCACAGCAGACCTATAGCAACATCTCTCAACGCGAAGGCGCTAGAGCTAGGCCTGTCCTGCCCAGTATGGCAACCAGTGGCCACAGGCAGCTACTTCAGTCGTAATTTGCAGAAGTTATGCTAGCTACGTCAGCTGTTCGGTTAGCTACCTGTAGCTGTGGCTTCCACATTGGACAGCAGGTATAAGCCTACCTATCCTAGAGCTGGGCATGGTGGCGCATGCCTGTAAACCCAGCACTCAGGAGGCTGAGGCAGGAGGATCGTTGCGAGTTCGAGGCCAGCCTGGGCTACAAAGTGAGCTCAAGGCCAGCCTGAACTGCATAGCTAGACCCTGCCTTAAAAAAAAACAAAAGCCTACCTATCCTGACAGGAAGTTCATCAGACAGAGTGGAGAGCCCTTGGTCCGCCTCTTCCTGAGCACTTTTGGAAGTGGTTTCTTTATGCTGTATGTTGTAGCAGCTGCTGCAGATCTCTTGGATGTATTGGACGGGTTTAGAAAACATGGTTTCCGGTAAGCTTTAAACAGTTCAGGTGCGTCATCACCGGTCAGTAAGTCAGAATGCTTCGTTGGTGCCTTTCTTCATGATTCTAGAATGTTAGGACTATTGTTCTAGGGTGTACTTCCCTAACTTCTCAGCCTGCAGCTGTTGGTTTTGTTGCTTTGGCCGTATCTCAGGACTTACGGCATGTGCTGCTTATTCCATGTTGTTCTTTAAGCTGATTCACATTTTTACTTCAGTTTGTCTGGAAAAGAAACTTCATGACTATAAATGGAAAACTATCGAAGAAAACTTTTTTTTTTTTTTTTTTTTTTGAGTTTTTGAAACAGGGTCTCGCTATGCAGTTCAGGCTGACCTTGAACTCACTTTGTGGCCCAGGCTGGCCTCGAACTCGCAACGATTCTCCTTGCCTCAGCCTCCCAAGTGCTGGAATCACAGGCGTGCACCACCACACCTGGCAGAGAAAACATTTTTTAAAGAAAGCTTTTTTAAAATGAAGGAATAGGGCCAGGCATGGTGGCGCACACCTGTAATCCCAGCACCTGGGAGGCTGAGGCAGGAGGATCGTTGCGAGTTCAAGACCAGTGTGGGCTACAAAGTGAGGTCAAGGCCAACCTGAACTACACAGTGAGACCCTGTCTCAAGAAGACAAAAAATAAATGAATAAATAAATAAAATGAAGGAATAGGGCCAGGCATGGTGGCGCACACCTGTAATCCCAGCACCTGGGAGGCTGAGGCAGGAGGATCGTTGCGAGTTCAAGACCAGCGTGGGCTACAAAGTGAGGTCAAGGCCAACCTGAACTACACAGTGAGACCCTGTCTCAAGAAGACAAAAAATAAATGAATAAATAAATAAAATGAAGGAATAGGAAGGTGCCCAGCTCACAAGGGCAAAGCTTGGTGACTGAGAGTAAGGTTATTTTTATTTTGCTTATCAAATTCCAGTAGGTCCATCTTCTCTGGCTGCTACAGAAAAATGGAGTCGGGGGGCGGGGGCTCTTCCTTAAAAAGGAGATTAGCAAATGTAAAGAGGTGCTGAAGACAGAGTGGTACCAAGTGGAGGCTTTCTTCCTGACAGAATCAGAAGGATTAAGAAGCCTTGTAGGGGCTGGGGATTTAGCTCAGCGGCAAAAGTGCCTGCTTGGCAAGCGCAAGGTTGTGAGTTCAGTTCCCGGTACCAGAGAAAAACCAAAAAAAAAAAAAAAGAAGCCTTGTAGGAGGAATATCTGCTCCTGTGTCACTGAAAATACACTGGTGTCCCCAGTTAGAGACAGGTCTCCCCAGAGCAGGCCTGAGGGCAGGTCCTGGCCATGGCCTAATGCCATGCAGCAGTCCTGAAACGTTTGGGCCTCGAAAGTTATAAAGATCTGTATTAATACACTAGAAATGATAATCTGTTATGTTAAAATAATGTATTTTATGGAAAAGAACCTTTTTCCCAAATAAAAACTTAATGAAAAGTCATTGCTTCACATGTTTTTGCAAGTCTCTTCGATGTCTGGCTTAGTAGAAGAACTGGACTATCCTGTCTGCTTCTGCATTCCATTTCTGGAGATGCCATGTGATATACAGCTTCTGGAAACGCCACTGGGGATTTGTGAGAGGATGTAGGGAAAAGAGGCAGATAAATTTTCCTTTATTACCCTGGAAAGGCCTCAGGACACCACCCCCCGCCCCAGCCCCGCAGTATGCGCTGGCAGAGCAGTTGGCTTCGAGGACTAGGGGACCAGGATACGGGCCTCCGTCAGTGCCCTGCAGCCTCGGGCAGGGAGCTCACGTCAGGTCCTGGGGTGGTAATTCATGCAGAGCCTGTCTTACAGAGTCACAATGAGGCTCAGCTTGTGTCTGTGAAGTCTCCTTTCACACAGAAGCGGCGTATTTATAAACGGCATTACCCAGGAGCCTTTGAAGTGTGTGTCATCGCTATTATGTAGGACAGTTATTTTTAAAAAGCTAGCATGCCATCTTTATCTCACTGGGTTCTGAGGACACCTCCACCAAGGGAAAGGCCACCATTCTTACAAGTGGGTTGACTGAGGCGTAGGTAAGTGGGTTGGCCAGAAAACAGGGCCTTGTCCCCAGTGTGAGAACACCAGCATCCTGTTTTCAAGGCACATGGCTCTGGCTGCCTGGGGTTGGCTGGAGTTCTTATCTGATACTGGGCTGTGTTTTTGACACGCTGACACATTCAAACAGGGAGACTGCCACTGTCAGCCATTCTGTGCCTGACTAAATTACCCTCAGCCTGAGTCACTGAGTGGATGAGACAGTTTCCAGCTGTGGGGATCTGAGGCCTCATCGGAGCTTTAGATCTTGGTGGAGTGCAGACTTTTCAGTCAGCTGGTAAACAGCCGGAGGTGGTAGATGGCTTGTTTCCCTTGCCTGGGAAAGGTCTGCTGGAAGGTCTGCTGTTACGGCAGATGAGTTTGTCCTTCCGAACTGCTTTGTCCTGTGGGTTATCTCCTGCAGAGAAAGCAGCTTTTTCCGCTCCCGGACATTCCTGAAACAACCCCCACTCTGATCTTGGGGCCTGTCGTTGTGAGAGGCAAAGAGCCCTGATCATATTTTTTCTTGAAGTAGGAAATGGGGCAAAAAGCGTAAGTCTGATAGTTTCAAGCAGACTTTAAGATGTGGCGAGCTGTGTTGTGTTGTGTTTGGTTTGGAGACAGTCTTGCTACGTACTTCAGGCTAGCCTTGAACTCACAGCAACCCCCGCCGCAGCCTCCCAAGCACTGAGATTAGAGGCGTGCACCGCTGTGCCCAGCTATCAAGCTGTCATTATAATGGATTTAAAGAAATCTTCACAAAATTAGGTTGAGTTAAATTCTACCAGCTTTACCCCTTGTAAACATGATTTTAGTGACAAAGACGAAGCCCTCCAACAGTTCACTGTAATGATCATGCCCTGCTGTGCTATGGAATGTAGGCTGGCCCTACTCTCCCTGTCTAGATTAATATGACTACCTGAAGATATATTTTTCAGTATCATGTCTTTTAAAGCCTTAATCTGATTGCAGGTAATGCAAATCCAACTCCAGTTAGCTGAAACAAAGCAAAAAGCAAAGGTGATAGGGAAGAGGAGTCTAGGAGAAAGATGCAGGGCTTTGCTGGATCAAGAAGCTCAAAGCATCCCTGGAACCCGGTCCTCCCTCCTCCTCTTCTCCCCGTTTTCTTCTCGGTCGCAGCCTCCTCTTACGGTGCCCCGGTGGCCGCTGTCTGGTGTGAGTTTTCGCTCCATCCTTTCAGCCACAGTGGTAGAAGGGAGTTCTTTGTCCCGTGGTTTCAGAATGCTGTCTCGTGGGTTCTTATGAGTTATGTCTCTCCCTGCCCGCTAAGATAATCCCAGTGGCTAGGAGTTTGCGTGGCTGAGTATCCAGGCTGGGTCCTGCGACCACTTCTGGAACCAGAGTTGCTTTACCAGCGACTGAGAGAGGTGGTGAGAAATGCAGGGGACATCAGGGCTGTTAGGCTGGACAGGCAGGAAAGATTTTGGCTAGTGGGCTCCCAGAACCCAGTACTTTCGGGGAATGGCTACTCAGGGAGCTGTGATCCTCTGGACAAGGAAAGGCTGGGTTGGCTTTACCTTATCAGAGGAGGGGTGGGGTTGTGTACAGCAGCCAGGCATAGGTCATCGCTGGCACACAACCTCATTTACAGAGGAAAATGCTGTTGTCAAATCAGGCTCTTGGGGGTCAGTACCCTTGGCCACACGTTTAACACAGGTGGGTGCAGAAGGGTGCTAATCAGGCTGGTGGGCCCTGAAGAATCACCTGATGAGCCTTAAAAAAAAAATTGCTGCAGCCAGGTAATAATTTTTATAACACCTCAATCTGATTATGTCACATCCTGCTTACAAAAATCCATTGTGAAATCTTACCACAATTCAAATTTTAAAGAAGCCAGCATAGTGGTGTATGCCTGTAATCCCAGCAACTCTGGAGGCTGAGGCAGGAGGATCACAAGTTTGAGGCCAGTCTGGGCAACATAGTGAGATCTTGTCTCAACACAGAAAACAACCCCCCACCCCAGAAAAGAGACAAAATATAACCCCAATAGATTTTTTTTTTTTTTTTTGTCTTTTTGGGACAGGGTTTCCCTATGCAGTTCAGGCTGGCCTTGAGCTCACTTTGTAACCCCGCTGGTCTCAAACTCACAACAATCCTACTGCCTCAGCCTCCCGAGTGCTGTTACTCCAGGCATGCGCCACCACCTGCGGCATCCCCAACAGATTCTTATCCTCCCCCCCACTTCCTCCCCTAGAGGCTGCTTAGTCTAATCAGTTTAATATATTTTAGTTGATTATTGAACTACTGTATTTACTTCTCCAACCCTAAACAATATGTTTTGTGTGGCTGTGCCTTTGTTTTTCCATATGAATTATTATCTGTGGGCCTCTTACCAAGGGAAGATCTGGTTTGCGTCTCTCCCTCTGTCTCCACCGCATACCCACTTTCCCATCCCCTGTACTCCCGACAGTTCTATTGTGATCAGTGTCCAGGGATGACCTTAACTGCCGCCATGTCAGTGCTGTTTGCAGGTGAGTCGTGTAGTGAACGGTGACTCCTTTTTGGTTTTGTAGCAAAGTGCATTCTTCAGCCTTTCTGACAGAGAGTGTGTGGGAAATAACGTGAGACAGCCACCTGGGAGAAACCCAGTCTCCCAGACTCAGGTTAAAAGGTTTGGTGTGAGATGACTTAAAGCCGAAGGAAGAGAAGTAGGAAGAAGAATAGTAGAGGAGAGGAGACAC